CTTATATGGTGCTGAGGCATCGAACCCAGGGCCTCAGGCTTGCAAGGCAAGCGCTCTACCACTGAGCCACCTTCCCAGCCCGGTATGCTTGTCTTTTAACTTGGACCATCATGAGAAGTCAGATGTAAAAATTTTCCACTTGAGGTATTATGTCAGTACTTTAAAAGTGTGGATTTTGAAGTATTTTGGATTTGGCATACACAGCTTAGATGGCTATATAATGAAAACTCATGCATACTTATGTAAGAATATTTTAAATTATATTTGCAACAAGGTTAACATGATTTCTCATCAGAAACAATGGAGGCCAGAGGATGGAATGGCACATTCAAATTTCTAAAAGGAAAAAGCACCAAGAATTCTATATCCGGCAAGAATATCTTTTAAGAATGAAGGAAACCCAAACACATTCCTATCTAAACAAACCCTAAATTTATTGTTAGCACATTTCCTTTAAAAGTTCTTCAGGCAGAAAAGAAAGGACACTAGACAGTAACCTCAATTCACATAAAAAATATAAAAACATTTATAAAGCATAAGAATGTAGGAAAATGCAAAAGACAATATATTTTTACTTTGCAATTCCTCATTTTTATCTTGTTTAAAAGAGCTCCATATAGTTAATGAATATGAACTCATAATTTGTGACAAAAACGATGTAATGGAGCAGGTACACAGATGAGGGAAACAAAATTTTTGTATACTATTGAAACTAAATTGGTACTAGTTTAAGTTAGAGCACTAAAAATGAAGATGCTAGCTGGTTGCCAATGGCTCATGCCAGTAATCCTAGCTAGGCTGAAATCTGAGTAGCCCAGCTCAAAGCCAGCCCAGGCAGGAAAATCTGTAAAACTCTTATCTCCAGTTAACCATCATAAAGCCAGAAGTGGAACTGTGGCTCAAGTGATACAGTGTTAGCTTTGAGCAAGAAAACTCATGGACAGCACCCTTGAGTTTAAGCCCAAATACTGGCTAACAAAAAATTAAGATGCTAATTTTTGTCCCCAAGACCTTCTCCACCAATAAGAAAATAACTCAAAGATATATAGTAAAAGAAACTACAGGGTATATGCATTTATCTAATTTGGGGAGGGGAAGGGTAATAACAAAATGCTGAGACAAGGACACAGGATGACCCATTGCAACAATGATACTCACAAGACAGTATGTTGGAAATGAACTTTACAATTTGGGGGAAGGGGGTTGGGGAGGTGGGGGTGGGAAGGGATAGGAGAAAAACAAAAGAGGAGGTAACAATGTTCCACAAGAAATGTACTCATTACCTTAATCATGTAACTGTAACCCTTCTGTACAGCATCTTTACAATTAAATTAAAAAAAAAAAGAAACTACAAGAGAATTACAGAGTACACTAAAAAATATATAGTTAACACAAATGAAAGCATTATTGGAGAAGCCCAAGAACAAAAACACAAAATGCAGAAACCAACAACTAACTGGCAGAAGAAAGTTTTCTTAATCAGTAAATGTATTAAATGTGCATATATATACTAAATTGTAGAAATAATTAGACGTTAGATGGTAAGAGGGCTCAGAGTAGTTTACTTACCAACCAGGATGAAGAATCTCTACATCTGCAAGCACTTCCCTATTACATCACAGCTTAGCACCAGTGCTGAACATACCTGAGACTTGTTAACTACAAGCCACCACTGACCAACAGCACCTGTTTGATCTCCATGACCATATTTAGAACTTTCCCTAAGGAAAGCCCCCAAACCAACCCCTACATGGACCTCGTGGTTACCTCTGCATGTGCAACTCTATAGTGACAGCCCAAAGCCAGCTCCAGTCCCCCTCCTAAAGCCACGCCTTCAATAGCTGCCACCACAGGCTTCTTATTTCTCTGTAGTTCATCTACTATACTTCCCAATCTGATGCCAGAGTAGCCAGGATTGCTGAAGCCATGGATATCAGCACCTGAAGAACACAGACACAAAAAACAAGAGAGGTGTTTAAAGGATTGGACTTTGCTATTAGCATGAAGGGATCTAATTACTCTTAAGGTAGCTCAGACATCTGGGTGCCAGAAGATAACTACATCTGTAGACTGATGACACAAAAAAACAAGTTGCCTGGGAAACGTAGAATAAAATATGAGGAAAATCTTTACATCTTTACCAGGAATCCTGTAATCTTCTAACATCTATGTTTTCATAATCAGTAGCAACTCTAGGGAAATGTAAAAGCTCAGTGAAGAGGATTTATAGGTTCTCTGACTAATACCACCATCCTGAGATTGAGCCAAACCCCTCAATTTTTTGCATGACACTATCACCCTATTCACACCAATTTAACCACTTATCTTTGTTCAACAAGCACAAATCACTACAATATAAAAAAATGGCAAAATACATGCATATTTGTGACTTACATGTTAACCAAGCTGAAAAGGTTTTGATGTAAGTAATAAAGTTAGCAAAATTTCTTGCTTTTCCTGAATGTAAAAATAATGTAGGCAGAGGCTAAGAAGATGGCTCAGTGGTAGAGCACTTGCCTTGCATGCATGAGGCCCTGGGTTTGATTCTTGAGCACCACAGAAGCAGAAAAGGACGGAAATGGCCCTGTGGCTCAAGTGGTAGAGCACTAGCCTTGAGCTGAAGAGCTGAGGAACAGCCCCCAGGCCTAGAGTCAAGCCCCACAACCTTGACAAAAAAAAAGGGGGGGGGTGGAGGTGGGAGGGAAGGGATGGTAGGGGAAAAACAAAGGAGAAGGCAACAATGCTCAATAGGAAATGTACTCATTACCTTGCTCATGTAACTATAACCCCTCTGTGCAGCATTTTTACAATAAAAATATAAATAATAATAATAATAATATGATGTAGGTATTATGAAGTTTTTAAGGAGGTACAAAATTATATATTAAAAAAGGATCCCCCTAAATACAGCACACAGAGATAATTATTTAGTATTCTGGTAAATTCTCAGTTTTTCCCCACTGACACATAAATGGCATTGTGACTGTCTTAAATAATAAGCTATCTTAAGTAACTAATGTGAGAATTAAAGGACTTAAAATTTTTTATGTGGCTTATTTTATTTGGGTTTTTGTGTTTGTTTATTTGTACTGGGGTTTGAAGTTGGCCCTATTATTATGTTTGCTAGGAAATGAAAGTTTACTATGTATTTTTTATCATTGAGAACATGCTGTGAATCCTTATTATGTATTTTCTTATCTTCACATCATATTGTAGGTGTTTAGCTTTTTTCTGGAACAATGTATATTCTTAGAAAAGAGTATATTTGCTGCCATTTTATAAATTAATCAAATCAGTGGCTATGAGTATAGCTAAATTATAGGGTGCTTGACTAGCATACAAGAGGTCCTGTGTCTGATCTTTAGAGGGTCAAACGAAGATGTTGTATAAATTATGTTGAACACTTATTCATCTATTTCTCTTTTTTTCCCCACTATATGTTGCTCATCTAGCACGAATCTGGGGGTTTATGGGCTTTTTTTCTCAGTAATGTACCATATTTAATTATGTTGTCCAGTAAAATTGCTTTCTATTGTTTTTAAGATTCCTTTTGGCTGTAGGAAAAAAAAATTCAGCTCCAATTTGAGCCCCAGGACTATCATTCCAATAGCTTAAGTTGAAATGGTTTTTCTTGACTAGTAGTAATGAACATTAAGTGGATAAATACATCAGGCCTTGGGCTAAGTAGCTCAAATACTGTTTCATTTAATTTTCATAACAATTGGGTAAAGTGCCATGACAACTACTAGTTTATAGGTAAGGAGTTAAAGCTTTGAGATATGAATTGATTAGTTAAAACAGGTATGACCAGTAACTCATATAATGATTTCAACTCAGCCAATTTAACAAAGCCTGATTTTTTTTAATGTTTTTTATTGTGAAAATACTGTACAGACGTGATACAATCACATGAGCAAGGTAATGAGTATATTTCTTATCAAGCATTGTTGCCTCCTCTTCCCTACCGTCCCTTCCCTCCCACCTCCACAACTACCCTACCCACCCCCGCCTAAATTGTAAAGTTAATTTTTTGACATAGTGTCTGGGTCAACCTGTATCCCTATTTAAACAATTTGTTTTTCCCTTACGCTCCTCAAATTATACCAACATCAAATACAGTGAAAACAGGGGTTATATTGTGGGGGAGGGACATACAAAGCAACGAAAAACAGCAAGCAAGAAAAAAGTCACTTGTGTCTTTATCTTAGGGTTCATTTCACTTAACATCATTTTATCTGACCTTTTCTGCTTGTCTCAGATATATACTATTTTTGCAAATAAGGGAAACCATGGGCCCTATGTTTCTTTGGGCCCGGCTTACTTCACTTAATATAACTTTTTCCAAGTCTTTCCATTTCCTAACAAATGGTGCAATGTCATTCTTTCTGATGGAGGCATAGAATTCCATTGTGTATATACACCACATTTTCTTGATCCATTCATCTACTGAGGGGCATCTGGGTTGGTTCCATATCTTAACTATGGTAAATAATGCTGTAATAAACATAGTTGTGCTGGTAGCTTTAGTATGGTCTTGTTTGTGATCATTTGGGCAAATGCTCAAAAGTGGGATTGCTGGGTCATAGGGGAGCTCTATGTGGAGTTACAAAGCCTGATTTTTCTGCTTTGGTGGTGCTGAGGAATCAAACCCAGGGCCTCATGCATGCAAGGCAAGCACTCTACCACTGAGCCACCTTCCCAGGTCACAAAGCCTGATTTTTAAATGCCATCTTCAGCCTGTAGTCTTCTGCTTATCACACAAGATTAGTATTACTGCCCCAAATTGACTGAAACCAAGGCACAGACAAGGGTATAATAATTTCATGTTTAAATATTTCTAGCAGAGAGAAATCAATTAAATTTGGATGCTAATATTTCTTAGGAAAAGTACAATATTCTTTTATTCTAATAAATTTCAAGCAGGTACTCTATCACTTGAGTCATGCCCCCAATCCTTAAGCATCAGTTTTTTTGTCTTTTGGTTTTTGTTGTTGTTGTTTTATTGTTGTTGTTTGCCAGTTTTATTGTTGTTGTTTGCATGAGCACTGTCTCTGGGCTTCTTTTCACTCAAGGCTAGCACTCTACTACTTGAGCCACAGTGCCACTTCTGACTTTTTTGAGTAGTTTATTGGATATAAGAGTCTCATGGACTTTCTTGCTGGGCTGGTTTGGAACCATCATCCTCAGATTTCAGCCTCCTGAGTAGCTAGGATTACAGGCATAAGCCACCAGTGTCCAGCTTTTTAGTTTGTGTGTGTGTGTGCGCGTGTGTGTGTGTGTGTGTGTGTGTGTGTTTTGTTGTTGTTGCTGCTTTTTGAAATGGTCTTATGCTTTTGAGCTAGCCTAGGACTGAGATCCTTCTACTGAGGTATTGGCTAGAACTGGGACAATGTGTCACCACACTGCAAACCTTAGAGGTTTCTGGGGACTGTGACTGACTGCAGGAGATTTGACTGGGTGCTTGAAGTATGAATGATGCCAGTAGAAAACCGCTGGCTGAATGGTTTGTTTTTTTTTTAATCCTATGTCTAACTGACAGAGGACTATGAGTGTTTGACCTTTTGCAATAATTCCTGTCAAAAGTCCCTCTAGGTATTTAGTGAGGAAATTCCTGCAGGGATCCCTAACTGAAATCGTGTAAGTGCTTCCTGACTCTGTCATCTACTGCTTTTGGCTGTAGGAAAAGAAGTTCAGAATGTGCCCTTTTGTTTATTTTCCTATGAAAATATGGGCAACTTGAACCTATAATAGATGAGGTTAGGGCAGAGAATTGGAGTTTCACTATGTCTAAAGGTTAAACTCATTCCTCTCTCCATGGTGGTAATTAGAATATTAATAATTTACTAAACAGTATTCTGAGATATCCCTGCATGGGCATTTCGTCATCCATTGCCCCAGAATCTGCTGGTCCAAACCAGTACCAAGTCAATGCTCCCCATAATGCCAAAAAAATTAAAAATGAAGAAAATTCACCTTAGGTGGATTAAGGTATTTCCATTCTGTGCTTAGTTTACTAAGAGTTTTATCTTAAATGTAAATCAAATATAATCAAATGTTTTGTTCTACCTTTCTTGAAATAATCAGGATTATTCTGTCAAATCTCTTAATAGGATGCATAACACTGAAATAACTTTAAACAATCTCATATCTCAAGGAAAAGGTAGTATGTTATACCTTCTAAGAATATCAGGCTTCCTTATAGAAAGGGTAGGATTTTTTTTACATATATGTTTATGAATATGACCGGCCTAAAGTGTCACTGTCTTATACTGGCCTTGCCAGATATTGGCATTAAGCTTATGCTAGCTTCTCAACAGGAGCTGAGACCTGTTCCAGGTTGAAGTGTCCACCTAGAACCTGTGATTGTGAGTTTATTTGGAAACAGGATCTTTGCTGATGCTTTCACATTAAGAAGAGGTCCTACTGGAGGAGAGAGGGCCTATGTAAGATCAGGACATTTCGATAGCAAGCCATGGGGAAAAGGCCATGTGCAGACAGAAGCAGGGACAGAAGTTTTGACAGGCCATGGATTGGGAGCAACCCCAAGAAGCAGAAGGGGCAAGGAAGGATACTTCCCAAATACCCTTGGTGGGAGAGTGGTCCTGTTGCTAGTTTTTGTTTGTTTGTTCGTCACTCATGAGGCTTGAAACTCAGGGCCTGGGCTCTGTCCCTGAGCTCTTTCCCTCAAGGCTAGTGCTCTACCACTTTGAGCTACAGCTCCATTTCAGAGTTTTATGTTTTTATTTTTATTTTTTTATTTTTGTCGGTCATGGGGCTTGAACTCTGGGCCTGAGCGCTGTCCCTGAGCTCTTCAGATCAAGGCAAGTACTCTACCACTTGAGCCACAGTGCCACTTGGTTACTTAGAGATAAGAGTCTCACAGACTTTTCTGCCTGGGCTGGCTTTGAACCAGTGCCAGGCTCCACTTCAGGCTTTTGAGGGGTTAATTGAAGATAAGAGTCTCTAGGGGGGGCTGGGAAGGTGGCTCAGTGGGAGAGCGCTTGCCTTGCATGCTCGAGGCCCTGGGTTCTATTCCTCAGCACCACATAAGCAGAAAAAGAAAAAAGCCAGAAGTGGCACTCTGGCTCAAGTGGTAGCTAGCCTTGAGCTGAAGAGTTGAGGGACAGCACCCAGCACCCAGGCCCAGAGTTCAGGCCCCATGACCGGACCCCCCCAAAAAAAGTCTCTAGGGGACTTTTCTGCCCCAAGTTGGCTTTGGAACCATGATACCTGGATCTTAGCCTCCTCAGTAGGTAGGATTATAGGTGTGAAACCACTGGTGCCCTGTTGCTATTTTGATTACAATTTTTGCCTCCAGAACTATGAGGCAGTAAACTTCCACCATTGGAAAACATTCAGTTTGTGGACATTTTTACACATTGTGCCTTCTCTTTTTCTTGACCAATCTCTCCAGAAGTTTGTCAGTTTTAAGTCTTTTCAAAGAATTAACATTCACACTTGTTTCTTTTGATTCACATTGTTTTCTATTTCTATCATTTCTCCTCTGATTATTTCCTTTTTTTTGTTCTTTTAACTATACTTAGGTCTGTTTTCTTGTATGTTACATGAACTGCATCATATGGGTGCTTCACTAATTGTCATTATCTTTTATCTTATCTAATATAGTGTGCAAAAGCTATACATTTTCTGCTTTTTGTTTAGCTGTATCCCTCATGATTCATATTTGCATTGTCATTCAGTTCACTGTATTTTCTAGATTCCCACTGTTTATTGTAAATTGACTCACGGTAAAAAAATTAGTTTGACTTACCAATGTATGAGCAACTAGTCTGTGTTATTGATTTTTAACTTTAGTTGTAGTGTTTTCAGAGAATATGTTCTAAGTGAAAATTACTGAAACAAGGGTATATCCAGTTTCTGGTCACTTTTTCCAAATTCTCCAGGAGTGTTTGAGAAGAATGTATATTTTCAAGTTAGTGGGTTCATTGTTGTATAAAAGCCCACTAAAACAACATTTTAGAATAGTGTTTTTTCTTAATATGAACTCTAATTACATATTCTCTTCTACATCTTACTTATAAAAATTAATTTCTGCCAGGAAGGTGGCTCAGTGGTAGAGTGCTTGCCTTGCATGCATGAGGCCCTGGGTTCGATTCCTCAGCACTACATACGCAGAAAAAGCCAAATGTGGCACTGTGGCTCAAGCTATAGAGCACTTGCCTTGAGCTGAAGCGCTGAGGGACAGCGCCCAGGCCCAGAGTTCAGGCCCCACGACTGACAAAAAAAAAAATCAACTTCTAGCAGGGCACAGTGTCACACCTATAATCCTAGCTACGCAGGAGGCTGAGATCTGAGGATCATGGTTCAAAGCCAGCCTGGGCAGGAAAGTCCATGAGACTCTTATCTCCAACAAACTACCAGAAAACTGGAAGTGGCACTGTGGCTCAAGTAGTAGAACGCTCACCTTGAGCTGAAGAGCTCAAGTCTTCATCTTAGGTCCCAAACTTAAGTTTCTAAACAGTCAGGAAGCTATTTCAAAGTGTGTTAATGCTTGGCACTTCATACTTATTTGTAAATAGAGGAATGTAAAATTTACTGAGTGTTAAAATATAAAGTATATCAAGAGATTGCCATTTTTATTTTAATTAATAAGTAACTTACATAGCACAGATATGTAGCAGTAAAATAAATGGTAATTATAATTAATATTTTATACTGATTTATTAACATTTTATATAGATTTAAAATTTTATGTTGATTGTGCTTTTTCAGGTTGCCCAACAATGTATCTTGAATACCTTCCATATGGCAAAATTCACTAGACATGTGACACTTGTTAAAGGATTTAATATATTCATTTGGCAAAAGAAATACATTCTATAAACAGTACTCAGTGAATCACTACTTCTGATACTTCTGCCATATTTCTGCATCTTTACCCAATGACCCCAAAAAGCAGGATATGGTTACTCACTTCTGAGGTGGGTGCCCCTCAGGGGGACACTGAACTCCACTTTAAGACTCTGAGAATTAAACATTAAAGTTTCAGGAATGTCTTCTGTGTGCAGGCACTGCCCCAGGATGCTCAAGGTTAGCTATCTCCTTTAATCTTACAAAAAAAAATCATTTAAGCTGGCTATCGCTATTCCTACTTTACAGACAGGGAAACCAAATGTAAGAGATCAAAGAGTTTGGCCCATACCAATATGTAGAGCAGGTGAACGACAGCAAGTTTCCACTTGTAGGTATCACTGCCATCAAGTCCAGCTCTAAATGTCCTCCAAAAATCAAACCCAACATGAAGAAGTCCAAAGAGTCCTTTGGACTCTCTTTTAGATGTCTTGGGAAAGACCTATTTCTTTTTTTTAAAGATTTTGCTATATAGCCCAGAATGGCCAACATAGCAAGATCCTGTATGCTGATAGATGTCTGTAATTCCGGCATGGGAACAGGGGAACCAGGCATCTATCAGTATACCTTTGCTACATTTCTTTTTTTTATTTTTATTTATTTTGGTCGGTCGTGGGGCCTGAACTCTGGGCCTGGGCGCTATCCCTCAGCTCTTCAGGTCAAGGCGAGTGCTCTACCACTTGAGCCACAGCACCACCTCCGGCTTTTTCTGCTTATGTGGTGCTGAGGAATCGAACCCAGGGCCTCATGCATGCAAGGCAAGCACTCTACCACTGAGCCACCTTCCCAGCCCAACGACCTATTTCTTTACCCACCATGTTTCTCATTCCCACTCTAGTGTGCCCCATCCACCTTCACTAAGTTCTCACCCATAGCACATCCTCTACACTACTGATTAAAGTCTGTACCTGTATTCTAGCCACAGTGGGAGAGGATTAGTTACCTGCAGAGAATTTGCCGTCTGATCCAGAAATCACAATGGCTTTTATCGTATGGTCTGACATAGCTTTCTGTAGTCCATCTTTTATTGCACGGAGTACATTCGAACTAAAAAAAAGAAAAAAAAATATATATATATGAAGCAAATTAGTCAAAGTTAAATTTCCACCATCTCAGAGGTTTTCCTTTCCTAATAATGAAGAAAAATTAAACATCTGCAATGGATAAAACTACAAATTCTTATCATTAATTTTTAATTTAGCCAACAAATAATGTGTCTACTATGAATTAGGCAAAGAGATGATCAAATGAAACCACTTTTAAAGCAATATTATTTTCGTCCACACTGCTGTAACTTTTAAAACTCAGAATCAACATAATGAATTTGTAACATATTATACATAATATTACAGAGTGTTGCCTAGTAAGTGTATACAACCATCATGGAAGGTGCACTGATATGAGTGCTGTCATAAAGGTGCAAAGGTGATATAAAAATTCAGTGGGAGAAAATTCAATTTCACCTAGTCCTACTGGAAAAATAGAAAATAAGGAGAAAAACTAGGACAAGTGGTAGGGGATGCTAAATAACTCAAATATCCATTTCTTCTCATTTTCTTCAAAGAATATAACAGCGAGTTTTTGTTTTCTGTTTTGTTTTGTCGGTAATGGGGCTTGAACTCTGGGCCTGGGTACTGTGCCTGAGCTCTTCAGCTCAAGGCTAATGCTCTACCACTTGAGCCAGTGCCACTTCTGGTTTTCCAGGGGCTTATCAGAGAAAAAGAGTCTCATGGACTGGGTTGGGACGATGGTTCAGTGGTAAAGTGCTTGCCTTGCATGCATGAGACCCTGGGTTCAATTCCTCAGTACCACATAAGCAGACAAATCTGGAAGTGGCACTGTGGCTCAAGTGGTAGAGCCCAAGCCTTGAGCTGAAAAGCTCAGGGACAGTGCCCAGACCCAGAGTTCAGGCCCCACAACAACAACAAAAAAAAAGAGTCTCACAGACTTTCCTGCCCAGGCTGGCTTTGAACCACAATCCTCAGATCTCAGCTTCCTGAATAGCTTGAATTACAGGCATGAGCCACCAGAGCCTGGCAATAGCTAGTTTTTACCTGCAGATACAGTAGCTCAAAATAAAGATCATGGGCTGGGAAGGTGGCTCAGTGGTAGAGCACTTGCCTTGCATGCTCGAGGCCCTGGGTTCAATTCCTCAGCACCACATAAGTAAAAAGAAAAAAGCCGGAAGTGGCTCTGTGGCTCAAGTGGTAGAGCACTAGTCTTGAGCTGAAGAGCTGAGGGACAGTGCCCAGGCCCAGAGTTCAGGCCCCACGACCGGACCCAAAAATAAATAAATAAATAAAGATCATATTTTCCAGCCTGCTTTGCAGTAAGGTCAGAGCACTAAGTTCTGACAAATATGATAGAAAAATATATGCAACTTTGGAGAAGAGTCTTTAAAATATTTTCAGATTTTTCATTCTTCCCTACTGCTGGCAGGAATCCAGATGGGTTGGCTAGATCAAGAATATCTTGCTGGGTGTTGGCAGCTCATCCCTGTAATTCTAGCTACTCAGGAGGCTGAGATCTGAGGATCATGGTTCAAAGCAAGCCTGTGCAGGAAAGTCAGAAATTTCAAGAAACTCTTATCTCTAAATAACTACCCCCAAACCAGAAGCAGAGCTGTAGTTCAAAGCAGTAGAGTGCTAGCCTTGAGAGAAAAAACTCAGGGACAGCACCCAGGCACCATATCAACAACAAAAGAAGAGGATCCTTGCTGGGTGCTGGTGGCTCATGCCTGTTATCCTAGCTACTCAGGAGGCTGAGGATCACACTTCAAAGCCAGCCTGGGCAGGAAAGGCCGTGAAACTCTTATCTCTAATAAACCACCAGAAAAACGGAAGTGGTGTTGTGGCTCAAGTGGTAGGATGCTAGCCTTCAGCAGAAGAGCTGGGCGACAGGGCTCAGACCCAGAGTTCAAGCCCCTTGACTGACAAAACAAAAATAAAAAACAAACAAAAGACTATTCTTGTTCCAAGGAGGAAATGCCATGTAGTTTAGCCAGGCATTAGTGCCGCATGTCTGTAATTCCAGCATTTTGGAGACTATATAAGGAAGATAGAGAGTTTGAGGCCAGAGCAAAAACAACAACAACAAAGAGCCATATGTTAAAGATGGCAGAGTTAAGACAGAATTTTGGAGTGGTAACACCAAACCAGGACACTACTGTGGAAGAAGTTAACTTCTTGTTTAACTCAGTATTATATAACTGCCAATCAATCTTAGTCCAGACACATTTAGGAGATAAAGGTGAAAGTAGGAAAATTAGAGAAAATTTGAGTAGATTAGTAGATTTTATCTAGTCTTAGTATCAGAGGGAGTTGTCCAAGGACAACTTGACTAAAGCCAAGGAAGATAAATATGACCTGAAGGCAGATTCTCTGCTCCTGTCTGCATTGAAGAAGTAAGAGAGAAGCCAGGAGCTTATGGCTCTTGCATGTACTACTAGCTGAGATCTGAAGATTGAGATTTGAAGCCAGCAGGTACAGATAAATCCCCTTGAGATGCTTATCTCCAATTAATTACTCAAAAACTGAAAATGGAGCTGTGGCTCAAAGTAGTGGAGTACTAGCTTTGGGCAAAAGAGCCCAAAGACAGTGCCCAGGCTGACCTCATTCAAGCCTTACAACTGAAAAAAGAAAAAAAAAAGTAGGAGAGGAAGTCAGCTGGTGGTGAATAAAAATTTTATTAACTCATGTTTAAAGAAAAAAAAAGTTGAGGGGCTGGGAAGGTGGTTCAGTGGTAGAGTATTTGCCTTGCATGCCATGAGGCCTTGGGTTTGATTCCTCAACACCACATAAGCAGAAAAAGCCAGAAGTGGTGCTGTGGCTCAAATGGTAGAACACTAGCCTTGAGCTGAAGAGCTGAGGGACAGAGCCCAGGCCCAGAGTTCAGGCCCCACCACCACCAACAACAGAAAAAAAAAGTTGAGAAGCTTAGCACAACTATCCAACAATGAGGAAGTCTAATTCACAAATACCAAAGAACTAATAAGTATTAATAGACCAAAGGATAATGAAGAAGGAAAAACACTACTAAAAGGGGTGGGGGGAAGATAACAGCAGACTATATTTATTTTGCTTAGAATTCTGACTGTTCTGCACAAAATCTCAGGTCTTTGATATATAAAGAAAACTCTTCAAACAAAGCAAACAACAAAACTCAATAAAAGCTATATTGTTAAGACCAGTAACTTAGTCAAAGGTCAGTGAATGAAGAAAATACCTGCTGTTGTGCATGTTATCTTTCACCTAGTTACATTTTTGCTCTTAACATACAAAAACAAACAAAACCTTTGGCTTTTTAACCTACTAATTGGAAATCAAATCTGATAATGAAACAGACTCTGGAACATTACATAACATTGAGATGTCTATCAGGCATATGCAGTCAGTCATCTCTCAGTATTGTGGGAAATTTGTTCCCAGAGAAACCAAGTTCATCTTTTTAAATCTGTTATATATGGTTATATATTTTCATATAACCTATGTACATAGTCATACTTCAACTATGTGTATGATCCCATAAAATAGAGATGCTATGTGAATAGTTGTTTTACTTCATTGTTTATGGAATCAGGAAACAACAACAATAATAAAAAACTACACATGTTCATTAGGGATCCAAGCAATCTGAGTGTAACTATATTTTCTGTGTAGAGTCAGCTGAATTGGGGATTCAGGACCCATGGATATGAAGACCTGGCAGAATTACTTCCTCAAGGAAGGATGGCCTCAAAATGAGCCATAATTAATTTGATCAGTGTCATGCACAAGAGGCTGGCTTTGCCCATCCCAATCAACTGCCCTGTTTAAGTTTAAAACATTCACAGCAGGAAAAAGATGGCAGTAAATGATGCAGCTTTCTTTACTGAGAGGGACCACAGCCATATAGCAGGTAAAGGTCACAGGGACCAAGAAAGCCTTTTCTTTCCTTCATATTTCCAGGTGTGGAGAATGCAACCTGAGAAGATAACATGTCCCGAGTGCTGACCATAAGGCCTCTGCTTTTGGCAGGTCTTCCTTCTAGATTGCATCCCCTTTCCCTCCCCTGGTGTTGGTCTTGAGCCTTGAACTCAGGGTCTTGGGGCTGTCCCTGAGTCTTTTATTTTTTTTACTTAAGGTTAGTGCTCTGCAACTTGAGCCAGCTTTTTGGTGGTTAATTGGAGATAAGAATCTTACAGACTTTCCTGCCTAAGCTGATTTCCAATCATGATCCTCAGATCTCAGTCTCCTGTGTAGCTAAGATCACAGCTGTGGACCACTAATACCAAGCTAATCACACACCCAAGCTCTCTTCCTTCCTTCCTTCCTTCCTACCTTTTCTTTTTTCCTCCCTTTCTTCCTTTCTCTCTGTCTCCTTTTCTCTCCTTCTTTCTTGTTCTTTTCTCCTGTAATACAATGTGCTAGACATGAAAGGACTGGCTCAATTTCAGGAAACTTTGTTTTCACCTATATATTTCTATATATGTACATTTTCATTTGCTTGCTATGCAATAGTGCATGTTTCTTACTATATGGATTACAGTTATATGTAAAAAATGTGATAGCCACTGCTCTGAGAAACAGGCCAAGTAATCAGTCCTTCACTTTAAAGATGATAGCTTCATTGGAATGGGAGGAAACATGGCTGACTAAAGAAGCTGTGAAAGACATTTGCTATTTATCTGAGAGAAAAAGAATTATTCACCTGAGATTCTTCTACTGGACTTAGAAAGAGATAATCTTGTACATAAAATTAGAAATAGGAAGAGAAAATGGAAGGAAATAAAATATATAGCTAAGGAAAACTGGAGAACCTGTTACATTTGAACAAGCTGTGATGTGGTAAATCATTGTTCCATAGTACAAAGAATTGTTATAAATTTTAAAACAAACTTCTATAAAAGCCATGTTGTTAAGACCAGCAACTATAGGTCAAACTTCATGAATAAAGAGGCAACTAGCCCTTGTGTACGATAATTACTTTTCCCCTAATTACTTTTTACCCAGTAACTTAGAGGAAATAAACAAAACCTCTAGCTTTTGAATACTTGATGGGAAATCAATTTGTACTCTAAAATCCAATTCTGAATCATTACATAATGTTGAGAAGTCCAAAAGTCATATGCAGTCAAGCCTCATTGTGTGTGAGGAATTGGCTCCAGGACAAACATCCCTGCCAAGCCCAAATCCTCACGTATTCAAGTCTGTTATATAAAACAGCACCAGCGCCACTTCTGGCTTGTTTTCTTTTTGCTTATGTGGTGCTGAGGAACCGAACCCAGGGCCTCAGGCATGCAAGGCAAGCGCTCTACCACTGAGCCACCTTCCCAGCTTTGCAAATATTTTATTATTGAGCATCACTCTCTTGCTTTGTAAATAGGGAGTCGCTACACAGCGTAAGGGCAGCCTGAGTCCAAGTAGGGGAATGAAAGGAATCAAGGTCCAAACTCGAACCAAGTCAAGAACTTCGGAATTGCAAGCGCCTAGAAGCAAAGGCGCAAGCTAGCCAAACATCCAGCACGCAGTTGGCACAAACTTGGTGAAACTGAGCCTAGCTCCACCGTTCCTCAGGCGGGTCTCAGCCTGTTTCCTGACAGCGCAGGAATGTGACTCAGATGCACCGATGGCCCAGTGAAAGGACCCACTACAAACCAGTTGCTTTATCTGGCAGTGTCGATTCCGGCCAGAGCCAGGCACCGGCTGGTAGGGCCCGCGGTTCCCCGCCGCAGAGGCCGTTACCTGACTGCGTTGACAGGCGGGTTTCGCAGGCGGATGTGCGCCAGGGAGTGGGGCAGCCTCAAGTACTCAGCCATTTTCCTCGGTCGCCGAAGTCTCCTCCGTGGCCCAAGTTGCCTCTGCCTCTAAGAGTCCGGCCACTTTTCAGGGAATCTCTGGGCCGGCCCCCAGGAGGAGGGGCGAAGAGCTGGGTCAATGAGAGCCAGGCACCGCCTCCTGATTCCCGCAACCGCCCCTTTCGGCAGTCACGCAGCCACCTTTCACCTCCCGGGAAGGACTGGGCAGCTCTACACAGGTGCTTATCATCCCAGCTTCCCAGCGGACAGCCAGAACGCCAGTAGAGCTGACCCCCCGCTGGCTGGGAGGCTTGCTCTGGGTTCACTGAGAGACAAGCTATCCCCATGGTCCCCATGCACAGGGATCGTTCCCTGGGGCCCTGACAACTATGCGCCAAGAAGCCTGTCTGGAACTAGTGAACCACATGCATCATTTTCACCTAACTGCTGGTGGGTGGTACTTGCCACAACCAGCAATATACAGAACAGTCATTTTCTCACTGCTACACACAGCAAGGAAGGCACAACTTCAGAGCAACTTGTCTGCCCAATCCTTTTTTTTTTTGCTTTCCCTAAGGAGTGGGATTGCTAACACTCCATCTACCAGCTGAACACCAGTTATGTACATGACCTGACTGGAGACTAGAGAAACCATGCCCAACTCTTACCCCTAAAAATTCAGTAGATGCAAGGTCCCAACTCCTGACTTCCTATGGTCCTCAAAGATCCATCAAATGATTAGAAGGTAGTATGGAAATGTGTGAGAGGAAAAAATACATGAAATACATCTTTACTGGTGTTCATAAACTTTAACAATGACTAAGGATTAATTTCATACACTTTGTTTTGCTCTTGAAAAGAAAAAGGTTCCTACCAAAAAGTTTCCTACCTAGAAATATACAGATAGAATCCCTTCAACACAACATGGACAACAGACTCAATGATCCACGTCTGAGTGTAAAGGACAGCCAATCAGCAACAGCCCAAAGCACTGCCTATGAGTGCCAACAATCAATGCAGCCTCCTGGGAGAAACCAGTTGATTATGAATCTGTATCTAGTTCCTTTGAAATTTAGAAATCCTTGAACCCAACCTTGTCTCACAACACTGTAAGATCAAGTCTGTTCTGCATAGTGAGTCTAGTTCTCTCTTCTTTACACAAGCAGTGACTTCAATTTTGTCTCTCTGCAAAGAGGCTCTCTAAGGGAAGTAAGATTGCCATACTGTTCTACAGACAGTCCTGCACAAAGGCCAAGTTTTCCTGGAGAGGGAGGCTCTAATAAGCATAGTTTGGACTCTTTAGGCATATCTTCATCTTTTATAGCAGTCTATCCCCATATTTTCAGTTGAACACAGAACTTTCAACCCTGTCCTCCACTTTAGGTTTCTATATAAATCTGTAAATATGCTCAGCCTTTGTTTAAAGTTGGCTCCCCAACTGGGACTATGGCTAGGAAAGTAAGGTGCCTAAGGGATCACATTTAAGAGCCTTACCTAATGCTGGTCTGCCCTGCTCCTCAACTATCATTTAAAAATCTCAGGAAAGAAACTCTCGGCAATCACTGTGCTGTTGTTGATGACATTCCAATGTTAAAATACTTAAGATACATAAATAATTTTCACTTTACAATAAAATTAAATGTGGGGGAAAGCTGTCAAGGAAATTTTATTCACAGCTCAATACAGTTGGATTTTACATGATTTTCAGCAAAACCTAGCGAGCTGGATTTGTAATAGATATGTGTGCTTACAAATATTGTAGTTTTCTTATGGTAGGATTACACTTGCCTGCCTGCCTACCTGAAATAGAACTTATTGCTGAAGGCTAATAAAGTATTAAAAGAATGAAGAGCATTAATAGGAAGCACACATTTCACTAGATTGGTTTTTTAATTTTGTTGTTGTTCTTTTTTTTTTTTTTTGCCAGTCCTGGGGCTTGAACTCAGAGCCTGGGCACTCTCCCTGAGCTTTTGTGGTTAGTGATTTACTATTTGAGCCACAGCTCCACTTCTGGCTTTTATGGTGGTTATTGGAAATAAGAATCTCAAAGATGTTCTTGCTTGGGCTAGCTTCAAACCATTTTCCTCAGATCTCAGCTATTTGAATAGCTAGGATTACAGGCACAAGCCACCAACACCGGGGGATACTAGATTGTCGTTGTTATTGTTAATTTGGCCTATCACTAACAAAGTTTTGAGGTGGTAGTAGCATGGTCAGCTTGAGTTCTTAAATGGCTACAATGGAGCACAGCTGCCATGCAGATTCAAATGCTCTTGTAGCATGAAGAAGAACACTTGAGAGCCAGTGTAGTAACTCATACCTGTAACCCTAGCTACTCAAGAGACTGAGATCTGAGGATGGAAGCTAGCCCTGGTAGGAAAGTCTGTGACTTACTTCAAATTAACAAGCAAAAAGCTGTAAGGCTCAAGGGGTAGGTAGTTAGCTTTGAGTGAAAAAGCTTAGGGATAGCACATAGTTAAGAGAGAGAGAAAGGAGGGAGGCAGAGAACCTAACCTGAGTTGTTTTAAGGTAATAGGTAGTTACTGCAGTATAATCCATGTCAACTGCCATGGGATTCTAGAGTGAGTTTATGACAACATGGAATTTAATGGTGACTAATATAAGCCCTTTACTGTTGTAGAGATAAAAACTGGACAGAGTACAGGATCTGGTCCAGACACTGATGCATATATTTGTTTTTTTACCCTTGGATTCAAAATGGATTGCTGGATGTGTGATGTGTGCCCATCCTTTTTTTTTTTTTTTTTTTGCCAGTCCTGGGGCTTGAACTCAGGGTCTGGGTTCTGTTCCTGAGCTTCTTTTACCTCTATCTACCACTTAAGCCACAGAGCCACTTCTGGCTTTGTCTGAGTAGTTTATTGGAGATAGGAGTCTCACAGACTTCTCTGCCTAGGCTGGCTTTGAGCCATGATCCTTAGATCTCAGGTTCTGAATAGCTAGGATTACAAGTGTGAACCACCAGTGCCAGGCCTTAAGGCCATCCCTTTTGATATACACAATGCGTAGATGAACTGCCATAACCATTTGCCTCTTTAAGGAAAGCTAGATATAGTAACTGGATACATGTTAGTGATGGCAAAGCTAAGGGGTAAAAAAATATATAGGTCCTGAATGATTATCTTAAATTGTCAGATTAACTAACCTTATGTCTCTCAAGCGTATTCTAGATATAGAAGTTAATATATCCCTTTATTTAAGGCCAATTTATATTACTTTTTTTTTTTTTGCAAAATAAAAGTTCGCTACCAAACTATAAACAGCTCCCAGATTTCATCTTCTTTAGCTGTAGAGACTCTCCTTGCTTGCTTGAGATCACACCCTTCTGGGGACAGACTGCATCCAGTATAATAGACTGGTTATTTCTTTTGGACAAGAGTACAGTCTCAATTCTCAATGGGCAATAGTTATTCTAGAACTCCCGCTCAGCATGTCCAAGGATTGGGGGGATCTGCATAGTAATTCAATTTCTTTCTCTGAATACTCATGATTCCTCCCTAGTCCTAAGAAAAATCTCACTTCCTATCTCCATAGCATTGTCTATTGAAAACCCAGTCAAAGACAAGCTTTCTGTTTTATCAGGCAAAAGCATCCTGAGATTCATTGGTGTAGTCTGTACTCAAGTCTTGTCTAGTGGAAGAAAAATGTCCTAATAGTCTTTCTCAGTTTAACTTTGTATTATGGAAAATTTCAAGCATGAACAAAAAATAAAAATGAACAAACAATAATATGAATATGTGACCAATATTTATCAATTACCATCCAATACTCTTGGACTATACCATTTTACTTACAAATACTACAGTGCATTGGTGTTGGCTTTACAAGACAATGTACATTGCCAGTAACAATGTAATGGCATTTCCCCCCATTTTCCTAACAACAGAATACAAATTATTGTTTTCCTCCCTCTTTCCACCACCATAGCTTTAAAAAGAAATATTTTAATAGCAAAAGGGACAAAGGCAATAGCAGGAAAAAGACCCTAGGATGAATCTTAGAATCTATTAATTAAACAAACAGTTAGGACCTGTCATTTCCTAAAGTCTTTTTTTTGTCGGTTGTGGGGCTTGAACTCTGTCTGGGCTTGGGCGCTGTCCCTGTGCTCTTTAGCTCAAGGTGAGCATTCTACCGCTTGAGCCACAGCGCCTCTTCTGGTTTTCTAGTGGTTTACTGGAGATAAGAGTCTCACAGACTTTCCTGCCCGGGCTGGCTTTGAACCGTGATCCTCAGATCTCAGCCTCCTGAGTAGCTAGGATTACAGGTGTGACCCACCGGCGCCCGGCTTCCTAAAGTCTTAAGGTCTTCAACTGTCATGAGCAGCTGAGCTGTTCTGAGAGGCGGTACAATCATGACTTTGGTTAGACTGATCAAAAAAAAAAAAAAAAAGAAAAAAAGAAAAAGGTTCGTCTTTATCATATGCCATCTAGTGGTCACGGTGGTGTCATGCTTTTTTCCCCTTTTTCCCTTTCTTTTTTTCTTTTCTTTCTTTCTTTCAACTAGATATAACATTAAAAGCTTTGTCCAGTAAAATACTTAAGCAGGACACTGAAGCACAGAGAAGTGAAGTGATTTCTTTAGGGTCATATAACTCGTGAATAAAGATTCATTTTAAGGCATTGGATCACAAAACTGCAGAGGCTACCTTGCTATTTAAAAAGGAAAAGTGGCATCATGGATAAAATTAATCATCTGACAGGAATAACATCTGTAACGTCTCTGAGCCCAAATTTCCTTATTTTTAAGACTGCATAATAAAAAATACAAGGACAAATGGCCTCTCTGAGTCTCATGAGTTTGAAGTTCTTCAATGTGTGGTTTAAAATATTGTTTTTTGTACTGAAAAAATTAAATTATTGTGTGGCGAGCATTTGTTGAGTGAAAGATCTGAAAGGCTAGCTGGGTGCCAGTGGCTCACGCCTGTAATCCTAGCTACTCAGGAAGCTAAGATCTGAGGATCGTGGTTCAAAGGCAGCCCAGGCAGAAAAGTCTGTGAGACTCTTATTTCCAATAAACCACCAGAAAACTGGAAGTGGTACTGTGGCTCAAATGGTAGAAAGCTAGCCTTGAACTGAAGACCTGAGGGACAGCGCCCAGGCCTAGAGTTCAAGTCCCACAACTGACCAAAAAAAAAAAAAAAAAGGTCAATAATACTATTAAGTTTGTTTCCCACTTAACAAGTCTGCCTCCCTTACTAGATAACAAGCTTTGATCCTTAATGCCTGTGTACCTCCTTAATAAGCGAATAAGTGAAATAATAGAGTCACAGTGATCAAGATACATTGTATTCATTAATTTGCATATTGAATTGAAATTCCTTTGTACAACTACGAAAGGATAAGTAAATAAATGGATAAATGGAGTTAAGAAGTTTAGAATTTAGAACTGATTGCCAGTGACTAACTTTGACTTCTGGCAGATTATTTAGTTCCTATGGCTCCAAAACCCATATCTCATTGGCTCATTTAATGAAAGAAATCTTAAATTTCACCCATCCCAATTGTATTGCTGGGTAACTTAGAATATAGACCCACTGCTAACCTTTTAAGGAATTCCCACCTTACAGCTAGCTCCCTCCCTCTCTCCACCCAGACCCACCTGAACTCCCATCTACCTCACTTCCTAACCCCCAGACCCTGCTGCTACCTATAGCGAGGAGGCTGCCATATTCTCTCTCTCTCTGGGGGAAATATGGCTCCTCTAATAAACCTTGTGATCATCTTTCTCCTGTGCCTGCCTGCCTGCCTCCACATGGTCCCCTGGCATGGATGTGAAGGATCCTTTCATTGGTGGCCCTATAGGGCTAGCTTCCCCGGTGGCTTTGCTCCCCCACTCCACTTCAGATGGGGTTTGACCAGCTTCCCCGGGGGACCTAGTCTGAGATCCTACACGCTGATCACCAGAGGACCAACAAGCTCTCTCTATCACTGACCATGTGACGGATGCATCATCTTGGCATCGAGGGAGCTCAGCTGCTATTTTGCGCCAACTTGATTTCACACCAACTTCAATTTGATTCTGTGACCCTCCCCCCTCTGACCTGACCAGCGGCGCCATTATATCATGTCATGTGTCTGTTGTCTCCTGCTTGCTACAAGTTTGTTGTTGGCAAAGTTTTATATTTTAAACTGACCACGTGGTGCCATCATAATTAGGCAGAGTAATACCAAAATTCCTTAAACAGCCGATTTAAAAAATCTAAGTGCGCTCTTTAATCTGTGCACAAACATGTCTATTTGTCTATATGTAAACGATTATGGTTTCAAGGTTACCAAGTACTCTGTTTACTAAAAATCTGTGTGAATGGAAGTTGTGATTTAATCTAAATTGGTTTAAAACGTTGTGACATGACTGTAAGACAAAGAAACTAACGTTAAGGTTTTAATTCTTTGTTTTCTCCCCCGTGCACTGATCAACTCCTTTGAAAATTAAGGGACCAAAGTGAAATCAATGGCACCAGCCTGAAAAATCCTGTTCGAAACAGGTATTTGTAAGCATTATGTCCACCTTTTGGTCCTCAGCTCCACCCAGACCTGAGCTTCTTCCTGCCCTGGAGTTCCCACTTTACAGCTGGCCCCCTCCCTCTCTCCACCCAGACCCACCTGAACTTCCATCTACCTCACTTCCTACCCCAGACCCTGCTGCTACCTATAGCGGAGGCTGCCATATGCTCTCTCTCTGGGGGAAATATGGCTCCTCTAATAAACCTTATGATCATCTTTCTCCTGTGCCTCTGGGCCTCTGTGTGGTCCCCTGGCATGGATATGAAGGATCCTTCCATTGATCCTTTCAGTCTTAACCAATATATCTAGAAATTTTGCAGGTAATCCCCGAGACAGATGCCACAGACTTGCCCAGACTCCGGCCTTGCCCCATATACATGACCAAAAGTCTGCTAATTTGGGGTAAAATACAAATCACCTTAGATATTTGTTTCTGTAAATGTTCATCCCCACATGTTAGACTGTAAGGGGTATGTGACCAAATGATAAATCTTCTTCGGCCTAGAGGTAAAGGGTGTAGCCCAGTGTTTCAATGAAGCATTTAAATGCAGATTAAAGTAACTTTAGAAAAACGGGGGGGGGGGGAATAAAATCATGCCAAATCATTGGCTGCACATTCACACAAGTTTATATCCTAGAGGTGCTTCAGTCAGTTATTTTTTTTTCCTGCCAATGCCACTTAAAAAGGAAGGTAGAGCTCACAGGGGCTGAAGCACTGCCCCACATTTTTGGGCCAATATGATGTTTCTCCATGGGAGAGGGATTAGTGTTTGGCGTGAACCCAACAGTGGTCACCCTAAAACATTCACATGAGCATCAGAAATGTGTGGTATCTGCTTGCTAAAGGTTACCTTGCCCTAGGTTTCTTCTGGTCTAGGCTTTCCTTAGTCCTTTGCACTTTAACAGTGAAGTGTTGAAGTTAAATCTGATCTTACTTTCTTGGTTTTTTTAACATCCGGAAGCCGACTCTTGGGGATGGGGATAAGTGGTGAATATTTTAAAGCTCCACTTTTGGTCCACTCTGTCACTAATGATCATTTCTGGTCAACTGTTTCTCTAAATCTTTTTTTCTAAGCTGCAAAGGCAAGGGGTTGACTAAATGACTAAGTCTAAATTTCCTTTTAGTTCCACCTTTCTCCCCCCACCCCCTTTCTTCTTCTCTCCTCTCTCCCTTCCTCCTTCTGTTTCCTTTACCAAGAATAAATCCTCAGTACAGCTGATCCTTTTTTCTAGTCTAGGTTTTCTTTTATCATCAATTTATCGAGTACGCACACTCAGGGCAAAGCCTGAGCTTTATGCATCTTTTCCCAGTACTTAGCATAATAACTAAGCAGGTGTTTCCAAGTATGGTTTCAGGTAGGACTGGGTCTCATATGTGATTCTATCTTTGCCTGAAGGAGTGCATAGTTCCTAAGGAAAAAGGTACCAAGAACCATCGACTAGCCTTTAAATTAAAAACGGACTCCAGCCTTCCACCCATTCATATGTTCTAACGAGGAACAAGAGTTCATAACAAATAAAACAGCAATTAGCGCTCACTGAGGAGGTTCAGAATGCCAGTGCTTTCTAAGTAATACACCAAGCCTAAGGTCTAGGTACTAGTATTGTTTCACACTTACAAACAGGCAGAGAGCCAGGCGCTGGTGGCTTATGCCTGTAATCCTAACTCAGGAAACTGAGGATCGCAGTTCGAAACCAGCCGGGCCAGGGAACACCGTGAAGCTCGGCTCGAATTAACAATAATAACAACAAGCCGGAAGCAGAGCTTTGGCTGAAGTGGTAGAGTGCCAACCTTGAGTGAACAGAGCTCCGGGGCAGCGCCCAGGGCCTGACTTCCAGCACCCCTCCCCAAGAAAAACCACCATCACACTAGCAGCGAGAGACCCCGAGAAGCAGAGGCCCCACCACAGAGCTCGCACTGCCAAACCCTGCCCCGGCCAGACAACTCAGAAGAGCCAGAGTCCAGGTGCACAGAGCGGAGCGACAAACTCGCACCGCGGGCAGCGGCCACTGCAGAAACGGGCAAAGAGGCCGGAGATGCGGCGATCGGGCGTGGGGGGGGGGAGGCGGGAGAGGGGAGAACGCAAAGACACCCGACGTGGGGGAAACAAAACAAGTGACGCGACGGAAATGACGTCACACGGCGGAGAAGCACAAGATTCCACCCCCCCACCGGATGCGACGAGCCGGAAGTTGCGTAGGGAGGCGGTGCTGAGCTGCGGAGGGCGTCGCCGGGGGCGGGACGGGAGTCCGGTCCTCTAGGAGCGTCGGACGCGGGCAGGTAACCGCGGGCGGGATTTCAAGTGGGAGGGCGGAGGTGGAGTCCGGGGCTGGCCGCTCGGGGAGCGGGAGGGACGGTTTTCACTGTAGGTGGGGGCGGGAAGAGGGCTCCCCGGAGGGTTGAGGACTTGGGGAGCTGTGGGGAGCCGGGTCGGAGCCTTCTGAGCATCTGTGGGGTGGAGAGATGGGGTCTGGGGCACTGCAGTGAGCCAAGCTGGGGCCCCCAGCATCCCCTCGGCCGGCCCGGAGGAAGGGGCAAGGATCCCGTCTCCCCTTCCCTGGAGGGCTAGCCCGGTGCCGCGCACCGCCTGGCGCCTCCAGAAGGTGTCCGGGTGAGCGCGATCCCGAGTGGAAGAACCGGATTGCGGCTCGGCAGGGCAACTTGTCAATGCCAGTAGCAGCCCTCTTCCGAGTGGTAGCGATCACTGCCAGTGATCTCGTTTCTTAGCCAGTGTTTCAGGAGGGTGCTGCGCGGGAGAGACGCAGAGGTTTTCGTTTTGTTTTAAAGTTAGTGAAATGGGTATGTATGAGTGTCTTTCCCTGGTGTGGGGGGACACAATAAGGCGATTATCTGACCATTTTGCAGGTTCCTTTGGTTTTCTGGGAAAAAAAACTTGCAGGGGCATGACACGGGGTGATGGTGTGTGTCCTCAAATGATGAAGGTGTAGCTGTCTCACTGTGATGCTCCTTAGTTTCCCCTCAGTGCATAAACTCGCTTGCCTCCCCCGCCCCCCTCGCTTTTTCTTACTTGAAAGGTAACTGAAAAAGACAACGAAAACGTAAATAGAAATGTATAAAAAATCTAGGTCGAAGTTTCCTGTTGTGTATACATAAAGAAGCAGTTGTAGAAGTCTTTCCCCCAAGAAGATCAATAATAACAACAAAGTAAAAATGCCTTTAATGTAACCAAGAGTGAGTATACACCCAGAAACACAAGTAGTGCAACCAGATTGCTTGTGGTTATCAAATGAATACGGTGCAGATGACACATTCTGCTGTGTAATAAGATCTGGACATGAATCACCACCCTACATGCAGTCCCAGTGAGACGCTTGTGTCTATGGGCTCTCTGATGAAGCCCTTGAGAAGTTGCATTATCTTAGGTAAGGTTGGATAGAGCAGGGCGGAGAGCACTGAATTGTTCTCTACATTTTTTTTTGTGTGTGTGTTATGTGTGTATGTGTTTTGTTGTGTGTTTTTTTTAAACAAGAAGCTACTAAGCACTTAAAGATCTTCAAATAGGTTGAAGGCACTAAAAGTCCCATGTAAATGCTTTATTGAAGTCCTTAAAATTTACAAATTTGCCCATCTTTAATTCTTCATTTTTCAATTTCTGAGTCATCTCTATTTTTATATGTTGTTACTGTGATGTTGTGTTTAGAATAATATAAATATGATAAAAGGTAATTTTGTAATTTTTTTTTTTGGGTCCGGTCATGGGGCCTGAACTCTGGGCCTGGGCGCTGTCCCTCAGCTCTTCACTCAAGGCTTAGCCTTCTACCACTTGAGCCACAATGCCACTTCCGGCTTTTTTTTCTGCTTATGTGGTGCTGAGGAATCGAACCCAGGGCCTCATGCATGCAAGGCAAGCGCTGTACCACTGAGCCACCTTCCCAGCCCCAATTTTGTAATTTTTTGAGTTCTATTTTGGGCCTTAAGTTTAAGCAAGAACCCCCCAAAATATCATTGCCTTAGTCTAATTTTTTTTTTTTTTGCCTGTGTGGTGTTGATTGTCATGTCCTCTAAACTTTGCTCATCTAAATCTCAATAGTGTAACTGTTTTCCTTAATGAGTTGGTATCCAAGTGGTAACTTAGGTATGTACATTGACATTCTTGAGGTTTTCAGTTTTGCAGAGCACTGATACCTATGGACTTCATGTAAAGAAAAGCACGGAATATTAATGGACAAAAACATGAATCAATTTGTATTGTGGCATTCAATTCCTAGCACTTTGGAAGAGGTAAGTTGTTGACTATGTTTTACATTAGGTGAGATATTAGAATAGCTCTGAATGGGCCAAGGAAATTTCAATAGTGCAATTAAAGAGATTGATAAATTATATTGTTCCTGGAAGATTGTTGCTTTACTTTCTTTCCTTTTCTGGGAGTCTCCTTTCCAACACTGAGCATAGGAGAAATAAATCTATCTGTGGTCACCCCATAAATATTAGGCCTCAAGTAGTCATTTAAATCATTTGGCATCTAAGTTGGGCTGTATAATTATGTCTAAATCTGTTGATAGTTCTATTTTGGGCCTTAAGTTTAAGCAAGAACCCCCCAAAATGTCCTTTATGTTTCTTTACATTTACGTTATTTCCCTTTTTTTCCTCCCTTTGTCCCCTTCTCTCCCTCTTTCTACTCTCCCTCACTTTCTTCCTTCCCTTTATGCATCTCTCCCTTTTCCCAAGTCCTTCCCCATTATTCCTTTTAGGTGATCTGTTCTCTCATCCTTTTATCTTTCTGTCCCAGGGTAAAGTTTCTTTTTGTTTTCTATTTCACTTTTCCTAATCCATCAGTTTCCTAATTTTCAAAACTTTAACTTTAGCTTTTTGGTGATGTTTGGAATCTTTTAATCACTAAGCACTTTTCTGGCCTCTTGTAAGTGTATAAACTTGTTTAGAATTTGTTTAAATTATAAAAGGCAGTGCTTCTAGAAATCTATCATTTACTTATACTTCTTTGCACACAAAAATTTGCATACAAAGATACTTATCACCATATCATTTGGAATGAGAAGACACCCAGGAACATCTAGAAATAACCTAAATGTACGTCAGCAGATGTCTGGTTAAATAAATGCTTACTTTTTGGGCTCCAGTGGCTCACGCCTGTAATCCTAGCTACTCAGGAGGCTGAGATCTGAGGATAGCAGTTCAAAGCCAGCCCCGGCAGGAAAGTCTATGAGACTCTTATCTCCAATAAACCACTAGAAAACCAGAAGTGGCACTGTGGCTCAAGTGGTATAGTGCTAGCCTTGAGCTGAAGAGCTGAGGGACAGCGCCCAGGCCAAGAGTTCAAGCCCCATAACTGCCAAAAAAAATAAAGGAAGTGGGCCTAGAGATGCAGATATGGAAGAATCTTCTAAGATACATAATTAACTGAGAAATACAATATACAAATACATAGTATATTTTCATTTTTGATTTTAAGAAGCACGTATTTATATACATATAAATTTTTCAAACTTAAGGAGCTATGGACAGAATTCCATGAGGAATGAAACTAATGGTCTAGAATAAGAGCAAAAATCAATTTTTTTTAAATTTAAAACTCACATTATATGTGTATTTATATACATACATAATTATGTGGATTGAATGTTTCACTCTAGGCATATTTTTATTTCATGATACAAACAAACAGCAAGACTTTAAGGTAATTTAACAAATCTAGAGACTTACTACTATTCCTATGACTTTCTTTCCTTACAATTTTGTTTAGAAGTATTGGGTTATACAGTAACCCGATTGTGTATGGTTGTTTTTTTTTCAGAGCTGCAAGGAAGGTTTGGTGGAACTATAAAAGGTTTTCAACCTTCACACTAAGTTGTTACTATTAATAAGAACTTATTAGTGTTGAATGCTTAGTGCTGTCTAATTCAGTACTCATGAACAATATGTAGTATGCTACTAGCTTAATATGATTTGTTTGCAAGCTAGATTTGTATTGCTCTGGCATGATTATTCTTAGCTTCCCACTTTTTCTGAGTGGCATGGCTTTTTTCATTTGCTCTTTTGTGATGCCGGAAACCAACTCAGGGCATCACACCAGCATTGTATTTCTGAGCTGCAACCCCCAGACTTGGGAGTCGGTATGCTTTAAGCAAATCTTAAAATTATTTCTATTTTGCCCTTGTTGTTTGGCTTAGGGCCTTTCAAGAGAATGAATTTTTTTCTTTTATTAAAACCAGCAAACCATCTTTGCCTATTTTAAGTTTACTGATTATCTACATTGGACTCAGCAAAAATGTCTGGCACATTAGTTCTCTTGTCTTTTTATTTCCCACACTTTAATTATGGGTCATTTGGCATAATAGTAATAGGCAAATAAGAGTAGATAAGAAATATAAAAATAACAATCATTTCATTAATAGAGGGGTTTTATATGAAACTTGCTTTAGAATCAGCTACTTAAGATACATCCTTAAATTGTTTAATCAGTTGTGTATATTGTTAAATATCTGTCAGGTTTTCATTTTATTTTTTTGTGGTGCTAATGATCAGACCCAAGGTCTTGTGCATGCTGTACAAGTGCTGTAGCACTGAGTTGCACCTCAGTACTGGTTGATATTTTTGTTTATTTTTGTTAAATGGGGTCTAGCTGTGTTGCCCAGGTAACATAACCCAACCCAACTTGTGGGCTCAAGCTGTCCTCCAGCCTCAGACTCTTGCCTCAGCTCCTGAGTAGTGAACTACAATACCATAGTTTAGACTTTTTTGCATATGATCATCTCTGTTAAATGATGGTTTGCTTCTTAATGTCCTTGGAATTCATCACTGTGTTCACAAAGGAGAATTCACTAGCCAGGATATTTGGAAGTAGGACTCTGTTCTTACTAAGGAAAATGGATTACCAGTGAATTTAATTCAAGGGTTAAATTATTTCCCTGGATTAATATGCTAAAATATGGTAAAGGTGACACATAGACGAAATGAACATAATGTAAAAGTTACATGTATGGAACAGAGCAATAAGAAAAGTCATTTGATATGATGAAGAATTAGGGAAGTTTAGTCATCTATAAGTTTTAAGAGTCAAGACATATCTTGAGAATGAGAAAATGAAAAACCTGTCAACAGAAACAGTTATGATTGAGATATCTTTAAGATTCTGTTGTGCCAGGTGCTCATGGCTCACACTTGCAATCCTTGCTACTCAGGAGTATAAGATCTGAGAATTGTGGTTTGAAGACAACCTAGATAGGAATGACTGTGAGATTCTTGTCTCCAGTTAACCATGAAAAAGCTGGAAGTGAAGCTAGGGCTCAAGTGGTAGAGCCCTGCCTTGGACGGAAAAAGCTGATAGATAGTGTCATTGCATTTGCACATGATCAAGATTAAAGAGACCTCCATTAATATATAAAAATTAATACACACAAAATCCCAATTTCATTACTCTGTGTACATTTAGAGATAAAAGAATGTTGTTATTGTTGTGATTTGTTAAAAGGGATAATTGTGATGATCCAGATTAGGAGGACTTGGACTATTTGTTGTTTTTTCCCTTCAGGAAATAGACTTTGAGAGAGAGGTTGGGAAAACTTCATAATGAGGAATTTTGTTCTTGACTTTCTTGGCAGGGGGTTTATGGGGCAGGCTTAAACTTAGGGCCTCAAGCTCTTGCTTGTTGTTGTTGTTGTTTCCTAACAGCTGGAGCTCTACAACTTGAGCCATACCTCCAGTTCCTAATTGGAAAAGGTATAGAACTAGTCAGCAGTGGAACAGGTTGTGCTAATAGTAAATTCTGGGTCATTAGGGTAGCTTGAGCAGAGTTAGAACATAGGAATGTTACGTCTTGGATTTCTTCTTCTTCCTTTTTATCTTTTAAACAAAGAAAAACATTGTTTCCATTTCCTGGAGTTCATTTGGATAAATATTATTTTTATGATCAAGTACACATAGGCATTGCACCCTTTGTTCCTCTTCTAAGACTATCATCCTTTGAGCTTAGCTTACTTCACTTAATATGATTTGTTATGTGGTAATATAATAAGATTCTGAATTATTTGGAAGGCTTCTTTGAAATTCTAAACAATTTATTACTGTTCATTGAATTGATTTATTACAAGTGTATTTGTGTTTTTTTGTTTTTGCCGGTCGTGGGGCCTGAACTGCTCTTCAGGTCAAGGCTAGTGCCACAGTACCACTTCCAGCTTTTTCTGCGTATGTGGTGCTGAGGAATTGAACTCAGGGCCTCATGCATGCAAGGCAAGCACTGTACCACTCAGCCACCTTCCCAGCCCTGTTTTATTGTTTTTATATTTAAGTAGTCATAGCTTTTTAAGAAATTTCACTTACATTAGTTATACTCTACAGGGGGAATTTCACTGTTACCTTTCCACACATATTTACAACATATTCCAATCAATCTTATTCCCTCTGCCATGCCCCTGCCCCTCTTCCCCGCTTCCCAAAACATGATAGTTAACTTTTCTACTGGTCACTTAAACACTAACTTCACCTTTCCTATAACCAGGACTATATTATCCTAATACCCAAACTATAAGATACAATATATATTTGCTTTTATTCATTTCTTACTTGGTTTATGTATTTTTGTTTTATACAGTATAATAAGCTTAATTAACTATAAACTAATTCTATGGCATAGTAAAAGCAATAAACTGTGAATGTGCCATATCAATAAAAGAGGAAAAGAAAAAAGTCATAAAGCTGACCAACTAATTTGAAACTTATAGCAAGTAGACCTTTTTGATTATATTAAAACAGCTCTATATTAATAGATGTTCAAAATGATAACCCTGACTAAATGTAAAAAATTTATGTTCAATATTTTTTGTTGTAGATGACAAGAATACCTGAATTTTGAAAGATCTCTCCAGTTTTTTGTTTTGCAATTGTGGGACGTGAACTCAGGCCTGGATGCTATCCCTGAACTCAAGGGTAGTGCTCTGTCACTTGGAGCCACAGCTCCACTCTGGTTTTCTGGTGGTTAATTGGAGATAAGAGTCTCACAGACTTTTCTGCCTGGGCTGGCTTCAAACCTTGATCTTCAGATCTCAGCCTTCTGAGTAGCTAGAATTACAGGCATGAGCCACCGTACCTAGCTCTCTCCAGTATTTTAATAAAAAAAGACTAGACAGCTATTTTTGCATTTCAAGAGGTTCTATTGTAGTAAAAAGAGTAGACTTCAGAGTATTATACACAGATTTGAATCAGAATGCCAATATTTACTAGCTGTTTTAGTTAGTTACATTAATTCTAAGCCTTAATTTCTTGACTGAAAGTTAAAGATTATGGATATGATATGTCTAAATTAGGTACTGACTAAATAATAGCTATTATTATTTCATTATTACCATGAAATTTATTATATATTGAACTTTTTCATTTTCAAAAAGAGCAAGGACAGGCTGGGAAGGTGGCTCAGTGGTAGAGCGCTTGCCTTGCATGCATGAGGCCCTGAGTTCGAATCCTCAGCACCACATAAGCAAAATGAAAAAAACCGGAAGTGGCGCTGTGGCTCATGTGGTAGAGCGCTAGCCTTGAGCTGAATAGCTGAGGGACAGCGCCCAGGCCCAGAGTTCAGGCCCCACGACTGGACCCCCAAAAAAAGAAAATATATAGATATACTTTGTGAATTTCATGGTAAAAATAATAAACTGAAGATTAGGAAAACATTGAATAAAACAACTTTCAAAACCATCTCTCTTTTTTGTAGTACTGGGATTTGAACCCAAGGCCTCACATTTGCTTAGTTTGGCTTGCTTTGCTGCCCTCTATTACTTGGACCATGCCTCCAGTTCTGCTTTTTTGCTAGATATGGAGACTCTGCCTAAACTGGCCCCAAAACACCATCCTCTTGATCTCTGCCTCTCAAGTAGCTAGGATTATAGGCATGAGCCATTGGCATGGCCAAGTCTGTCCTTCTGTCAATCTATCTACTTATCATCTATCTCTCCCTATATGCATATATAGCATGTATATATACGTATGTGTGTATGTGCCTCTGTGTGTCTGTGCATATATATACATATACATGTACACACACACACACACACACACACACACACACACACACACACATATATAATGGGGGGATGATGCTAGGGATTGGGCCCAGGATGTTATAAATGCTAGGCAAACACTATTATCTGAGCTACCACTGCAACCTAGGAATTTACTGTTGTTGTGGGTTTTTTTAGTGATAAACACCAAATTCAGACTAGTGAGTAAAATAATCACAGAAAAGGGACTGTAGACTTGGAAAGGTGCACAGTGTTTCAGAAAATTCTGTTTTGGAAAATATGATACAACTTTTTTTTTGTAATGTAGGGGTAAAGTGAAGGATTGTACTTGCTTTCACATTAGCATCGGAAGGCTCCTTGGATGTTCAGGCAATTCCAAAGACTGACTATATTCCCTACTTGTTTCTCATGGCCTCTGGATGCTAAAATGTTGCTATGGCAATACTATTTTGGTCCTGATTCCTCAGTCTGGGCTACAGGTTATATTGGAGAGAAACTGCCTGTAGGAAGGGTGGAACATAGCAGTTACTGCATCTAGATCTGCTGTTCTCAGCTTCCTGGACTTTTTTTTTTTTTTTTGCCAATCGTGAGGCCTGAACTCTGGGCCTGTGCGTTGTCCCTCAGCTCTTCAGCTCAAGGCTAGCACTCTACCACTTGAGCCACAGCG